TTACGAGTTAATTAGTTTCTACAAAGCGATTTGTAATGACTAAAGAGGCTTACTGAAGGGTGTATATTTTACACCGGCTTGAGAACAAGCATGGTGCCAATGCAAAACAATGATAATGAAGTTATGGAGGGATACAGAAAGATTGAATGAAAATGGGGAAAACAGCGAACGAATGAATGAATGAGTGATGTGAAAGGTGTAGTTCTGAATTAATGAGGGTTTCGCAACCTGGCATAATTGCACCCAATGTTGACTCTTACCCAAATATTTCTGTCATGCAGATTAATGTTGCCTGATTTGTTGGACCCATTCTAAATAAGCTTCATGGACATCGTAGATAGTAGTTGTCCATAAACGATGATTGAATGTTAGGTTCGCACAGCTCAAAACGCAGTGAGGGGTATATAGCGTTTAGACTGGACAGCTGTCCGGTTCTCCTTTGTTGGTCACCACAAAGAATTATATGGCAAATAAAGTGCATTCAACATGTACGAGTTATAGAGAAATCTGTGCTTTTCCAAATGGTTTGTGTGAATTTTTTTCACGACTACTATTCGTTTGTTTTTTGTAGATTCCCAAGCGGTATCCTTTTCGATGGCGGTCGTATAATTTATTCGGACAAACCGTTACCCGGTCTCGATTCCGATGTCAAACAAGATGAGGCCGAATTTGATGATCCTATATCTTTGGAAAAGCGTAAAGTAAAATACGTAGTAAAGCACACTGGAACGCGCAACACGGCGGATATCGTCAATTTTATGGAAGGGTCAAATGGCAATTCGATCTGTACCATACAAGTAAGGTCTTTCAAATCGTAAAACATACAGCGTTTGTTTATAGGATTGTTTGCGCGTTCTCGATTGTGCGTCCAAGTTGGCTTGCAATGGACCGTTCATTAGTCTGGGTCGTATGGCCATATTCGACAAAAGTGCCGTCAAAACCATAGCTAACAAACTGCTGAGCATACATCGCGGCTTCGTGCTGACTCTACGGCCTCAATGGAAACTGCGAATTAATATAGATATGGTACACATTTTTTTCATTTCCATTATTTTACTTAATTTGCCATTTAGACATTTACAGCCATGTTCCCATCAGGTAATTTGGCGGATGTTCTGTACGACAAATATGGTGACCAAATGTGTCCCCAACACAGACTGATTTCTCGGGACATTGTGGGTTTACGTCTGCTTTCTCCGAAAATTTATCGCAAAAATCCCGGCGGTATTGACTTTTTCAAGTTGAAATCATTATTTTTCCCCATTGTAGATGAACCATATGCACGATTGTTTACGGCGCATGGTGTCTCCGAGAAGTCTGCTACCCAGATCATCATTCCAGATACAAAGCAGTCTGTACAACAATACTTTGAAAGTACTTATAAAGTACAGTTGAAATATCCATATTTACCCTGTATCAAAGTAAGCTCGATCTTTCTAAAGTGAATCTGCCATTTTTTGTGGTATTTAATTTCCTTCGGGTGGGTTTCAGATTTGTTAGGTTTCTTGCATATGCTAAATCTTTTCGATGGGTCAATCTCAGATGTGCGCTTTGGAGAAGTGTCAGTTCCTTTTACATGCGAATGGATGCTGTTTTCATTTTTCAGCGTTCGCCGCTTAGATTAACCGTTTCTTCGTTATTGTGACGGAACTAAACATCCTAGGTACAATTATATGAATGAACTGACAAAAGATTACGGGACATGCATTCCTGACGAGCTGCAAAACCGGCAAAACCGGTCATGTGCTTCCAGGGAACTTTTGTCCAGTCATTCACATACTAATTATTATTATTATGATATATGTATATGTGTATAATATTTAGTAGAATTGAGAATTCGGACACAAATAAGGGTGATATGGGAAGACCAAGCACAATAGTGGTAGTTTGTAAATTCTTATTCATTCATCCACCGGAGAAGAGCATGCGCAATCAATGGACGAAAAGGGTTGTATATCTGCCCATTTGTCTTTCTCACAGGTGAAGAAGGATCGGGATGTTTTTTACCCCATGGAGTTGCTGGAAGTTCTCCCATTTCAGAAGCCCCGAGCTAACCCAGATTTAGCTGCTGAAATTATTCGCTGCGCAGCGGTCCGACCGGGAGATCGTTTCGGTGAACTAGCCAAATTTTGTAGAAGCTTGATCAGGTATGTGATGCTTTTGCGCTTCTGTTACTTTAAATACACCCACGGATGACGAATGTTTCCACCTCCAGATGTGATCTTGCGTTCCCCCAAAATAATTGCTCAAACCGAATGCATTATTGTGAGGCGAGGCGAATGCTGCTCACCTACTCATGTAAACTGAAAGACCAATCCCATGTAATAAGACAAAGTTCAGTCTCCTGGTCCTCCAGGTTGGGGGTTCGCCTGGAATTTGGCGTTTCAGTCGATAAAAAGCGGTGGAGTAATTGTTCCAAGTATATGGGCCTCCACTTCGCCTCACCCGCTGCCTTGCGGTTAGGTTCTTGT